CACATCCAGTGTCGACTGACTCACCGCTAAACGATGACTTTTCTAACTAGCATTTGTTAGTCGTCAATTCCCCTGAGTCGGAGTTTTATTTTTATGGAGTGTCTTCCTTAAAGGAAGACCTATTTGGCTCTCTCACGAGATTGAAGACTGGAATCAACCTCATTTTCATTTCTCCCGTGCGTGGTATTCTTCGCTATTCTTATATCTTGACAGCCACATACGAACAATGAAATGAAGTACGAAGCATTGATTCTTGGATTGGAAGTAGTCATCCAAATGAAGCCCATTATAACCTCTAGCTATACCTCGCCTGAATGGCTAGTGCTCACAACAAACTAGTGAAACTAAAGACTTTCACAGTTGGAGACTTGATGCTGGTTCTATGCCGCGCAATTGTGATTCACCGTTAAAGGCATGTTAAGTTTGAGCCATCTTGGGAAGGAGTATTTGTGATTGACAAAGTCTACTAAGGAGGAGCCTACATGCTGATTGATTCAAAAGGATTTCATCCGATGCCCCTTATCAACTGACGATATTTAAGAGATACTTTGCTTAGCCTCTTTTTCATGTACTTATTGTAGTTAATGAGAAAATTGCTCTTCAAAACATATGTACTTCTTCATCGTCCAGAGTGTGGGAGCTCTCTTTCGGAGGATAAAGTCGACTCCCTCAAGGAAAAATCAGGCATGGTTGAAGAGATAGCCTAGCTCACCTTGATCATCTCGAATAGATAAACGAAAAAAGGACCTCCGACCAGAGAATCCGACGAAGCAATGGTAGTTGGTGACATGCCGGCTGAGGTGCCGACTGCAGAAGATGAAGGAGTCGTGACCACGGTTCTTTCTGGAGTCCCTTCAAAAGCCAAATCCTTCTCATCACCTTTCCATGTATCAACAAAATAAAAAGCATATTTTCAAGCAATAGCAGTGACCTTGTCGGTTACCTTGTCTTAAACAACAACATAATCAACAGGGAAAAAAATAAGGTATCTTAAGGCTACTCTTCGAAAGAGCTGGTCTTCGTCTCATCCTAGATTACCTGATTCCAGGAGTCACTTCCAATTATGATTGTCGATGAAGTTTTTATTCGCCACCATTGATCCTTCATCATTTTACCCGTCAACACACAGGTAACTGTCACCTCAGCGATATATTGAGGAACCGAGGGACAACAACCATTTAGTATCTTGAGGGCAATGATCATGCTCCCTGAAAGAAACTTTAGCTTTGACACCTTGCACCCTGACGGCTCAGTCTAATTCATTCCCCAGGTGCCAAAACAAGAACCAACCAGGAACTTCTTCTTCCAATCCCTTATCTTATTCTCCACTCCTACTAAGTAGAGTTCGTTGCTTGCTGAGAATACAGTGTAGCCCTACCTATAGACCTTGAAAGAGAATAAGTCTCTAAATTGTTCAATTTACCACGTAAGATTCTCCCACCAATAGAAAAGAAAGAAAGTCATGATTGCAGCTGTGGAGTTTGGCATCACTCGCACCGGAATAACCTCTTTAGTGATGAAGATGCTCCAGAGCTCATGGAACCAAGGTAATCGGAGGTCATTTTTAAACTAGTCTCAATAAGAGACTAGGCCTTTTCCTAGAGGACCCATCACTCGTGCCGGTTTAAGCAGCTTTTTAAGGCTTATGCTTTCATCAAGAACATACCTTCGTTGCAAGTCCCTTGCTTTGCTTTTTATCAGAGGCAAAGGGACAATGCCATTTAAAGAGTTGAACAAGACAGGTTAGTGTTTTGGGGCCATCTCAAGAGACAAGAGTAGAACTAGCTAAAGGACGAGAGGAGAAGAAAAATTGAAGAAAAAGGAAAGAACTAAAAGCACGTAAAGTGAATAAAAGTGGCCCTTTCATCTATTTATAAGGTGGGAGTTGCAAACAAAACATCGCATAATGATAATTATCACACCAAACACCTTTTCAAAATTTATTGTGAATAACATTATTACATGTCTAGAATGAAGTGTTTTATGAAGGGGTTCTCCAAGATCTCGGAGGTGACATGCCACCTCAACTTCCGAAGAGCCATCTCTCCACCTAACTTAATCTGGTCCACCTGATTAGCTTCCCTGTTGAACTTCACCAGATCAAACATCTCACGGAGTACCATCAACTCGCGAAACACCTCATTTAGCCCACCTCAAAGAGAGATGAGCTCCGTCCACAGAACCGCTACTTCAGTATCTAGAAAAACAGACATCTCTTACACAGGATCCTCAACCAAACCACTACTGAGTCCCTCGAAAGAGTTGACCGGCCCCTCTAACGGTCCAGTCTCGCCTACCCGCTACTCTATGATCTCGGAGGATTGTGCTAGCCTTTATGGTCTCCTTAGCTGGAGATCTATCACCGATGATGGGTCAGGCTGTTGATAAATTACTGGGGCTGACACCGGCAGGAGCCCTACATCTTCAACTTGCATAACAACCATCGCAGTAAGGGCAGACTCTACAATATTCTTTGACAACCCACCGTTCTGATGTTCCTTTGACCTAGCCAACTCATCTATAAATCTCTCATTAGGAGAGAGTTTTAAAGGCCTCCTCTCCCTCATGTGTCAAGGCACCCCAACTTTCTTACTGCAGTGACTGCGGGAGAATCGTGCTGGCGACACCCCCAGCTCCTTATCACCACCCTCATTCGAAAGGACCTATAGGACCTCAACACGCACGCCCAAACCAGACTCCAAGGCCTCTTGGTGAGGCCTCTTCAGCCACTGACCTTCCGCATTATCAGATGAGTTGACTACGTTGATCAGGTCATATTCGGGTCTCACTTGTTTTTCCTTTTGTCACCACTCAGCAAGCTTCTCTGGATCCACAACGATCCGATACAATTTTTCAGCCATAACGAACCTCAGTTGTAAAAAGAGAATCGACGACAAATGACACAAGGCTCAATTCATGTCTATTTATTGAGCACACGAGGCACGAAATCCTAAGGAAAGTCATGTGTTAATCATTCACAAATTTATTGCTAACGATTGTTTAAATAATTTTCCTATTCTTATTGTAGTTGTCACTATCAAGGAGTAGGAAAGCGGAGAGCTAATATTTATAAACCAAAAATACCAGCACAAATATCAATGAAAACGAATGACCAAGATGAAAGAGCGCCCTCTCGAGGCAAGCAAGCAATCAGCTATTTAAGGCTAAGCATGAAGTCGCGTCTCTAAACCCGGAGTAGGTTCAAGCTCTGAAAATGGCTCCCCATTCGGTAATGGCAAGTCCCACTGAAATTGAGATGTACCAACAACAAGTCTCGTTAGATACTCTGCATAGGTTACTACAAGATCCGCCTAAGACCTTGCAAGATTGGGAGACTGGCTGATGTGACGAACCAACCAAACAGGTGAAACACAAACTCTATAAGATTTGACTCAAATGAAAAATGAGTCACGACTCACTCAATGAAAAAAGTTGACTGATCGCATTCGACCGACCAACCCAACATCTGAATCGAACGACCACCTCATAACTTACCGCTCTAGTCGACCGTGTCAAAATACACCGAGCAAGATTGTCATGCAGCAGGACACCTCAACCGACTCACACATACTCCAGAGGGCACATATATCACCCCAAATGTCGCCTCAAACAGCTGACTTCAAGCCAATCGACCAGTCAATTACTGGCATTGTTGAAATTCAAATTTGTAATCCAAATATGACATAAAATATATACAATCATTTAGAGTCATAATTGCATTAAAAACAGTTTGCATAACCGTCCCCTCATTTCGATAATTATACAAACACGGCTCTATAAGTACGGGACAAAAAATATGAGTAAAGAGATATCTCCCTAGATTTTCTCCACAAAAATTTCAGACTTATTATGTCATCTTTTTCTTCTTTCCTTCACTCGACTCTAACTATCAAAGACATGATTTATAAAAGACAAAGTAGGATCCAACAATATATATATATATATATATATATATATATATATCATCTCTATTCTTGAAACTGATTTTAAAGTACATAAAATTTATTTCAAAATGTTGTAATATTATTTCTTTTCTCAGGTAGAAAGTTCCAATTTTCTTTGATGTTTTCATGAGATTATAACTTCATTTGACGACATGCTATCATGTGGGACGGTAGTCCATAACAATCAATGGTTGCCAGCTGGGGCTTCACTTCAGGGCTAGCGATCAATAGCTTTGGTTTCATGGATCTATTATTTTGTCTGCCATTGCAGTTATTGTTTCTTTCTTTCTTTTTCTTCATTTTACTTGGTATTATTAGTAGAGACGTAGAAGAGCCGAGTTGAGTCGAGTTTAAGCTACCTCCTATTTGAACTTGAACTTGATGAATTAGTTGAGTTTGAGGTCAAGACCTTAAACTCAATTCCATGAGCTTAAGGACTCATGAGTCAACTCATTCATTATGAAGGAGAGAAAAGGATTTGATTTATTTTCATTAACCATTTTAAATTCAAAATTTATACTTTTAATATAATTTAAATATATATTTTTTCACCAATTTATTTTAAAATAAGCCGGTTTACGAGCTAATGAGTGGAATCATGATTTGCCCTGAGTTTGTTAGCTAATTAATCTAAATTCATGAGTTATTTATTGGGTTGAGCTTTAGTTGACTCATGAGTTTTATGGACTCAAGTATCCCCTAAATTAGCATTTTGGTTACAAGTAATGCAGACATGACACATGAATTCATATTCTCCTAGGCCATTATTAACAAATTTATCTATTTATCTATCTTCTTAGCTCGACGCATTTCGTAGAAGACGAGGATTTCAAGTATGTGTGCGTCTGGAGAAAATATTACATCAGAACGTTCACACTTACAATCACAGGAGGTTGTTAATTTGTGATGACGCAGCCTTCCAAGATTGGAAGTTCAGACGTGCTGTATCCAGAGTTAATATTTTCTCATCTATAACAGATCAGAGAGAGAGAGAGTGCAAAATAGAATACCTAAATTTTAACACGTCGCAAGCCACCACATAGTTTCACCATAGTCCCCAAACATTGTTGTACCATAAAATCATATCTTGATTCACTTCAACAACTATTAAGGGCACAAACCATCCATCCCCCTCCATTTTCAAAAGCATGTTGCTTAAGATACGCCACAATTATTTCTTTAGTTTGGTAACATCACTTGATTTCTTTGGCATTGAAGGACTGTTAGGTTTCAAAACATGTCTGGCCATTATTCGCAATACAACATATGAAATATCCGCATTATAAGTACATGATTAATTAATATATATGTCCATATTTATTTAAAAACATTTAATATCGATTTATAGGCTGATAAAGTTGAACCACCCTACCATCTATGCCCTGCGACGGCCTCGCATTCTTCTCATATCCCTGCACATATTTATATTTCATCTAATCATATTATCATTAATAAATCATAATCATTAAACAAAGTTCTGAAACTCACATCTTCTACAGCTTCTTTCAGCAATTTCAACTGTTCCTTGGACACTGTTCTTACCTGTAGATTAATTCTAAATAATATAAAATCTTAATGAAACGTTAATTAACTATTTAATTTAATTACCTTTCTAATGACGGTCCAAACGACACCTTCAGTGCATGGAGGAGTGGTGAGAGATCCAATATACCTGTAATATCTCCTGCTACCTCTCTTAATGTTTCTGGGGTCAACAATCCCTATCTTCACCTCCACCTCTCTCTTATCACTCACCAACTTTATATATTTCATCATCTAAATTACCAAAATGACTTTTTTAAATTTCATAACTACGTTAAATAAATTAAAAAATATAAAAAAAATCATTATTTCAATATTATAATTAATTACCTGTGTGAGAAAAGTATCGGGCCGGCCAATTGTATATAGGATAGCCACCACAGCGAATTTATTGTCACTTGCTCGTTGATGTACCATATGTAACTCCATTGCATACCTGAATTCATATAGCTTGATATTATATGTATAACAATTTATTTTCAGTCCATATGTAACTCCTGTTTACAGATCTAGACAGATTTAGCGGTATTGATGTATTAGCCCCATGCTTTACAAAATGACAAAAATACCTATATGTCACGGACAAATAGTCTCACATCGGCTAGGTGTAGGGCCGAAAAACAGTATTTAAGTCTTGGGCTGCCCACCACCCATAAGGGCTCTTTTGGGAGGTGACAAGTGGTATCAGAGCAGACTACTGTCAGTCAGGTTTGTGGACTCTCCATGGTCCAGTGGGATCCTCGGTGGAGCCGATCCGTGACGTGGGTGTCGCGTGATTGGGTGGAGGAGAATGTCACGGAGAAATAGTCCCACATCGGCTATGGTGTAGGGCCGAAAATCAGTATTTAAGTCTTGGGCTGTCCACCACCCATAAGGGCTCTTTTGGGATGTGACATATAGCTATCTTACCAAGCTGGCTACAATATCTTACAGAAAAATGGAATAATGTAAAGCAATCTACTTTGCAGAAAGGAGTTAAAGGCAATGGAATCCCCTTTACAGAAAAACAGTAATGGCTTCCACTCGTTCAATTATAAAGTAAATATAATTATGAATGTTTTCTATTTAAAAATAATAATAAAAATAAAGATATATATATATATATATTTATAATTAATATAAGAGTCATTTAATATTGTATATTAGCCTTGGAATCATCTTATCTTTCCATTTTGATTAATCTTATTGTCATCATCATGTTTCCATATCATACAGAGACATTGCATTATTTCCTTGCACTAAAAAATTATTAGTCGTTATCAGACTAATTAATGAAAACATAAGAAAAAATCAGAGTTTAAAAATGTACAAATCATTTATTAGTTCAAATTATTGAATAAAAACTTTTAAAGATATCTCTTCTCAAATTAATGATATTAATTCATCAGAATTCAAACAATAAGAAATTTCAGTTCTTCATGGCATCTCTATAGTTATAATTAATATTTATATTATTTTTATCTGAAAAAACTAATTAGACAATTAACAATATGTAAAATTTATAAAAATAAATTGTAAAAAAAAATAAAAAATAAAAAATAAAAAAAACTCACTTGTGATTGTTAATTGTGTGTTCAGAAGGGGTGTGCCAATGCACTTGCAAAAGAGAAAATTTAGTTCCATTTATCCAAATTTCTCCTGCATCATCCTCCCACTTCACCTGCTCCCAGTAAGAAATTATGATGAAATATAAAATAGATTTTATAAGAGAACATATATAATTAATTACCATTATATCATGACCACGATTCTTGATGACAGCATTAGCAGAACGATAGCTTCTATTGAGATCACCTAAATAATGAAGATGCTGAACCCTTCTGTCATTCAGATCAATTGGAGACTGCATCTTTCCTTTGCTGCATGTCGCCCAATCTCTATGAATGTCTCCCCAATGATCTGGTCCATACTTGCTCCCAACCTTATAGCTGTACTTCCCTTCCATTTCTATTTTCAATAATATTAATCAAGAATATTCCACAATATATATAAAAAATATTAAGTTCACTTTACCTTTGGATGACACTCTGTCATAGTTGGGGAAGAGGAACAAGATGATAGCCATAAAGGAGAGATATTTATGAAACTCCATGAGAGATAGAAGAAGGGAGAGAGAGAGAGATGTGTGGATGAGAAGTTTTGAATAAGCCTGAGGTTAGGATGCTATTTTATAGTGTAGATTGGAGAGGAGATGTTGTGGAGCAAGGATGATAGAGCCTTAGGTAACCTTAGGCAAACTTTTGGATTTCATCTCTTAAAAATCATGAGAATAGAAGATTGGAGAAGATGATATTTTCCTTATTTTTTGTGATGGAAGTTTTATAGCTTTAGACAAAATTTATCATCGTAATAATAAATAAATTCAAGGAGGGAAAATTAAGAGAATTTAACCTATATGAAATGATTTCACTCATTTGTATTATATATTAAAAGAAGTTGTTTTCTATAAATGAATAATATATTAATTGTACATATAAATATGACTTTATACAGACTGTTTATGTGTATTTTAAAATGAAAAGTAATATTGCCGAACTGAGCCCACATGCCACTGTGTTTAAACTGAGCCCGCATGCCAAAGTAGCTGAATTTAATCTCTTCTACGAAAGTGATCTAGCCCACTTAAGGAGGGACAACAAGAGATGGTCATCATTAGTAGCAAGGAGGCAAATTCATTCTTCTTTAAATGCGCCACTAGATATCCACATCTCGATCTTTTCATCGAGATATCTTGGATGGATGACATACATAAATGCATTGATTTGTGTATTATGAGGAGACCGATTGTTAATCAATTATTTACTAAGAGACGTCAATTTCACCAATCAAACTTAACGGTGAGTTCGACGGGTATGGGGGGTCTCCCTTTGTATTGGGCAGTGGGGGCATGCTCTAGAAGTTTTTTTTTTTTTTTTTATAGATGGTGTCATAGCACTAAGATGTGCCTAGAAAACAATATCGTAATGACTAATCCAGGTTTAGAACCCTAGATCATGACACTGTGAAATTCAAAATTCAACACGCCAATGCTCTTTTGAAGCATTGTAATGTCGTTATCGCGGCGCTCCCGTGCCATTGATCGAATTTGAATAGTTATATGCTTAAAGTTTTAATTTTTCGTATTAGAGTGTAATGAATTTCAATTTCTCTTGTGCAAAAGAGAAAAGAAGAGCGTCGTCGAGTGTCTTGTAATTTATAAAAATCTCCTCATTTTCTTATAGCGTACATTTTGGTATGGTGTGGCTCCATGCTTTTTTCTTTTATAGAACAGTATGAAGAGTTTCTTTTGATCAGACAACATTTAACAGATATTTGAATGCCTTAACAATGTTAAAATTGAACGATCTTGGACTCGTTGGATTCGTCTTGTCGAGACACTCGATTCAACCATAAACTTATCAGAATCAATATTTGTTTGACTTTCCAAATATGTCTGGAAAACTTTCAAAAGTTATTTAATGGCTTGATCTGAGATTGATTTGACTTAGATTTGACCTATTTTTACATCATTGGGGTTGTCTCATTGAGCCCGTCAGTTTGACTGTTTGTTTGTTGAAATCGAGCTATGGTTGACTCTTAATCAAAGTTTGAAAATCTTTTCCTCAACAAGTCACTTTTAGATCTATGCAAGATGATGAAAATTTGTTTATGGCATATCAACCATGATGACAATGGCATACATCTATGATATGGGTGATGGAGGGTGATGACCCTAACGATTTCGGTGGGGAAAAACTTCATTGATGATTATTATCATTTACTCTCTGGGTGATGACAAGCTTCAAATTTATTGACGATAAATTTAATTTATTATAATTTTTTTTTGAACATATATTAATTGGAATAGTCCTATAAATTTTAATTTTGTACGGAGAAAATCGCAAGAGATTAGACATGTTCAAAATTAGTAAAATGTTCTGGGAACCAACCCCCAAATAATTTTCACTCATTAAGCTCTAAATAAGATTAGAAGATAATTCATATAGCTTTGACAAAGAGGATGAAATGACAAATGATCCCTTATGATTTTATCAGGCATCTATAGGCCTTTTAAGTCATGGAACACATTCAAAAATCATCCTAGCAATAGCACATTTTCCCCATCAGTTAAATAAGTCATTGCGCAATCATTCAATAACCACAAAAAATCTAAGTTATTAGATGATCATATGTATGATTATTAAGCGTGTGTATGATTAATACATTTTTTTGTTAATTAACAATTGATCTAATGTGTCTTTGAACCATCATATGTTGAATTCCAATTCTATAAAAGTTAGTTCTACGTAGAAATGACGATAATAATCACCTAATGACTGTCTAATACTTCACTTGAGGGCATATATATAAATCTAATCGTATGTATGATTAAACGATTTTATATTAGAATTGAATCTTTTGTACAATCCATCAATTCAATTTAAATTTTTTTTAAATATTATATTTTATTTATTGTATAGTTAGGATATCATCATAGGTTGGAACAATCTAGATGACCATCTATAAGATCAATGCTCATGAATTACTCTTAAAATAATGAGTTCTTTTTCGACTTGTTGGTCTTGTAGTTATCGCCAATGGCATAATTTATGAGCACAATGTTGATTTACATTGTTAAATGATCCACAATCAAAAGTGAGATCATTAATTATGTGATTTCACACAAATATTTAAGAGATGCAAAAAAACTTTGCAAATTTAAATCAATGATTTCAATATCACAATTACATGCAAAAGAATTTTCTTAAGCATGTTTGACATTTATGCTAAAGTTAGTCAAAAGATGTATGCAAAGTTTGAGTTGTAACGATGGCCGAGCAAATGAAAAATTATGTGCAGAAGTGAAAACCCTATACAACATATTAACACCAATTTAGCATTGATGTTTATAAAAAAATAATAACAAATATAAGTTAAATCCATATTCTTATGTGTTCTCATGCATCTTGATTTAATCATTTCTTTGACTTGATGAAATTCTCCTTGAGATCTTTCGCTTTTAGAAAGCAAAAGAAAATGTAGAAGATTAAGAATAAAAAAAAGGAGATTTTAGGAATGAAATGAAAATATTAGAGAGAAAATGCTCAAGTTTTTATTTGGTAGAGTGGAAATATATATTTTTTAAGGTACTTATAACAAAATGATGCGTCGCAGCAACCAAACTTGTATCCCTCGTCACCTTTTTGAGTTATATAAAAATAGGTAGTTAATGAAAGGAGACGAGTGACATTCATTATATATATCTACCTATTAGAGTTATACAAATTTGAAGTATGGGTTATATAAAGGCATGACTTTGATGCAAATATATTACATCAAGTGCTACATGTGAAAAAAAAAGACAAATAACATCAATAAATGTTGTTCCATCATAAATGAGATTATTAACAATATTATGTGTTTTCAAACAAATTTATATAAATACAAGAGGTTACACAAATTTAGGTTCATGATTTCAATATCACAATTACATGCTTAAAAAATGTGCTTTAGAAGTGATAAAACATATACAACATAGGTAAAAGTATATGTTAATATTATATTTGCATCGGAAAATATTAGAAAACTTATACAAGTCACATGCTTGTGTATCCTCTTGCATTTGAATATGACTATTTATTAAATTTGATGAGAATTCTCCTAAAGATCATTTAACTTGAGAAAGCAAAATGAAAATTTTGAAGTTTAAGAAGAAGAAAAGTGAATTTTAGGAAATATATGAAAGTTGTAGGGAGAAGATGCTTAAGAATTATTTTGGTGGAGTGGTAAGTTTTTCTTAGGGGTTTTATAGCCAAAAGAAACATCCCACATCTAAATTTGCATCCTTTAGAACAATCACGGATTATGTTGTTATTGTAAAAAATTTGGTTGATTGTATTTAAAATTTTCATTCACATCTACAATCAATCATCAAATTTAGACTTTGAGATCATACATATGATCGTAAAATATGAGAATTTTCACATATTTTCATCAAAAAAACAATGATTATGCAAGCAAGTCAAGCACTCCTAATTACCCCTTCATGTCATAAATATGTATTGAGAAAGTGATTTTGTGAAAGATCAACTATTTTGTTTCAGTGTTAAGAAAATCTAATATATGAAGCAATTTGAAATGCATGTAGTAGATTATAAAAGCATAATGAGTAAACATAATTTATTTGTTATAAGAGTATTAAAATAGATTTCTCTTAAAAGCTTGTGTCGCTTATATTGTAATACTTAATAGACATGTTTTATAAGAGAATCCCATAATCAAAGTTACTATATTAGCTAGTAACTTCAACAATGTTGTTCTTAATGGCCATATACTCTCCCTTTCTGGTTGATAAAGTATGTAAATTATTCTTCCTACATAACAAAAAAATAAGTGAATGTTATAGAAATTGGAAATTCTTTAAATGCTCTTTTTATTTGCTTTATATCCAACACATTTTAAGTTTGAGAATCGTACAAGACCACAAAAAAAGGTGTTCCTAAGATACAAATGACCAAGATTTAGTAAACTTTATTGTAAAAAGGTGTTGCTCATTAGAATATGCTTAAAATTAATCATAAATGTAAACATAGATTATAATGTGCAGTGTGTTCTTATTAAAGTATAATATGGAATTTATCATTGCACTATTCAAATTTTATATTTGTTGATTTTCTAGTAGGTTCCTTACATAATTGTATAGAGTGGTTCATGGGGGTTTGGATGACCTTGAACTTATTCATATTAAAATTTTTTATGAATTCTCAAATGCATTTAATTTGATGGATCTTGTAGTTCTCTTTTATTTCATTTAAAGAAGTTAAGTTCTCCAAGCATTACTCATTTTTTACTTGTTTAAAAATCTCATGAAATCCTGATAAAATTTCATTAGTTATACCAAAGAGAATATCACCCATGTCACTTAGCTTTCTGTTGTATCTCATATTGTTCCCTTAAAATCTTGATCATTATGTTTCATATTAGTTCACAGACATCGCTCAATCACATTTATTTTTCAAAATCAAAGAAGATAAACATTGAATTTGCTATATCAAGCATCAAATTTCTTCCAATTCAAAATTTTAAATCAATGAAAAAAAAACAATGATTATTCTTTTTATTAGCTAGACTAATGCTTAACTATTTATAATGAGTTTAGATCTAATAGTCTAATTATATGCTTAAAGAGTGCTAATTATAGTTTTCATTTCTCACCTTTGAGATCATTATATCTCCAATAACCATATAAATTATTGAAGTTTTCATTCTCTACATTTGGAGGATAGATTACGTCTAGTTTACCGGAGACACGAACGACGAACACTAAGACGATGGAGTAATGTTGCGTTTGGGATAGCTTATTTACAACAGTGGCGTTTTCAAAACGTCACCGTCTGTTTGAAAATCGCATTTGCAAGGTTCATTAGAGAACTCATTTTTCATTTTTGTATTAGACGCGGATGACCCTGCGATCAGCGTTTAATAGTGTCAAAAGACACTATATGCCCTCCTTCCTCTGCCTACGCGATCCGCGAGATCCGCCCCTCCCGTTCGTCTGCCCTAGCGTAGCTCGCAGCAAGCGACATTGGCGCGACATCGAGGTCCTCTCCGCGGCCTCCTTCTTCTACCCTAAAGTTCGCAGCAAGCGGAGAAATCGTCATCGACTCCGCACAGCGATCCGCGTCTCCCTCTTGCAATCGATCCTCGTATCTCTCCATCTCCGGCAATCTTGCTCACAGGTAACATTTGTTTTCTCTTCTCCTTGCTCCTCTGCCGCTCCTCTGCTCTAATTTATACTTTTCGATGGACACAACAATGTACAATAACGTTTATCCAAGATATGGGCATTTTTGGTCATTTATTCAGAAATCAGCTGTTCTCAAAACTCACAAACCAAACAGACGGACAGATTATCCAGATCAGCTGATTATCACCAGATTATCAGGATAAGTAGCTTATCAGGATAATCTGAATAAACTGTAGCTGCCCCCAAACATACCCTAAATCGCACCACGACCTGCGTCCATCAACCGCGCATCCGATATTTCCTCCTAAACTATTCCATTGGTTCGGGCAAGCTACAATGATACAGAAACATATAAATTATCAAACACACACATCAAGCTAACATTCCTCCTCCTCCTCTAAATACTCCGGAATTACGCCAAGCTCCAGTTTGAAATACAGCCTACTTGCTCCGCCCGTCACTCTTCGATCACCGGACCTCACTTTCTTCACCACCTCCCTCCTCTGCACAGAAGTCGGCTCCACACACTCCGCCGGAAAAACCATCGGCGCAATGCCGGAGTCCGAGTTGATGAGAGCAGAACTTGCCTTACAGGCAAGCTCTGCCATCTCCGGCGGCCGAAGCCTCCTTCCCATCATGGACAGAGGAAGAAGAAAGTAGAGCTGTTCGGCTTTCAGTTCCTCCTCTTCCCCCACCGCCGGCAAAACTCCCTCCATCCCCATCCCATCCGCATCACATACAAAGAAAGCTTTGCTGTTTCGTCCCCTGTGAGCAGCCATGGGAGAAATCTGAAACTTCTTGAGAATTTCTGATACCTTCACCGGTCGATTGAATTCCAGCAGTCTGCCGTCTTCGAGAACGAGCTTGGCGGTGGTTGTAGGGGTTAACGACGCCGCGATCGAAACCGCCGCCTTGTTCTTGCAGGAGTTGCAGAAGCCCATCAGTGGGTGTTCTTCTTCATAAAAATTGGATTTTTGGGGGATAACAGAGAAGGGAGAAAGCTTCCGTTTTGGGTTTTAATGGGGGACAGGGGAGAAGGGATGAAAGGGATGGAGGAAGGAAGGGGTGAGAGTGTGCGTTGGTGAAAATGAATATTAATATTTAGAAATTTTATGATACTAATTTTTAATATAATTTAATATTTAAAAAATGATTGATTTGAATATTAGGAGTGATCAAACTTTAAATTTTATTAATTTTATAGTAAATTTTACTAAATTTAAAATTTGTTATAATAAAAGGATGATTAAAATAATTTAGATTAAGTTTTTGTAAAAATAAATATTTGAGTGAATGGTGGAGAAGAGGTGGATGCTGAGCTGGTTTAGTTGTGTAGGCTAAGCCGTTGCGATAGTGACTTGATTTTTAAAGAATATGTTTTTGAAATTTTCTTTTTTGTTCTTTTACGGTAGGAGGGTGGACTAAATAGTTCTTTAAGAGAATTCATTTTGTTTTTTTGTTGAAAAGAGTTGACTTAATCTCTTACAAAATATTATTGGAAGGTTTACATCCAAGCCACATGTACATCAATATATGATTTTAATGGGCCAACGTACATATTAACAGGCATAAAAAGACAATTTTTCTAAAGCATGTTGGTCTTGTACCAGGTTGACTGATCGGGTTGACCTGTCGAGTTGATTTACCGAGTATCTAAACGTGGTATGATCTGTCGAGATAACTAGTTGAGCTCTCCTCTCAAGCACCAGCCACGAACTCAAATCTAGAGCGAGTATCACTAACAAAAAGAGGATGTATATTTGCATCTATTCATGAGTTGCCTCATTTTAGTCTATCATCACCACTATGTGGGCAGACCTCAAATTGTACTAAAATTATTTAATATTCTTTCATTGTAACCCAAAGTAAGGGAAATGTCATCACGAGACATATAGATAGAGATGACCTCTAACCATCAGAAGCATCTTAAGATCAAAAGCTAGAGCTCTCAAAACACGCATCCTTTCGCTTCAAAAGCTAGATAGGGGAAGGTGAAAGACAATAAACTACCATAACAAATTTTGTTAAGGTGGACACTTCAATCACCTATAATACTATCTTCGACAAACTAATATTGAATGCTTTCAAAGCCATTGCATCTACCTATCACATAGCATTAACATATATTAGCTAAGGACAAACAATCACCATTCGAGGAGACCTAGTACAATCCTGGACATGATCCCTTCGAGCCATAGATGTTGTACCAGAGAATCTCCTTCAACTTGACATACACAAAGGAATTTTCCTAAAAGCAACTATGCCTAGAAAACAGGTGTCCATTTCTGAGGCAGAGTCGAATTGAACCTTCCAAATTAGCTCAAATTTTGTCGACGAGCACATGAATCTCTTAGTTGTAGCCCTCATGCTGCATTGAGGCCTATTCACTTTGACAGTGGATAAGATGCCTTATGTAAGTGTGGATGTCGCCTGCCACCAACTCAGCATCAATCCATGAATTAGGCATATTAAACAAAAGAAGCGGCACGTAGTTACTACCTAAGTCAAAACTAATCCAACACAAAGTGCAGAAGTATTAAATGCTAGTTTTAGTTGAGAAATGCAATAGTTTGATTGGAAGGAAAATATAGTTATGGTTTGAAAGCCATTAAACAGTGCACGATATGTGTCAAATTCACTAAGTAATGAGCATTTTCAACATCTTGTATGGATATTTATCATATCAAAATGTACCCTACAAATGTGGAGAAGATTTATCTTCATTACCAGAGATGGGATATATTGTTAAAGTACTTGGGCAAACAGTGCTGAAGGGCCTTCTTGGCCCGTAACTAAGACTTTGGGCTATGTTCTTTAACGTGCCAAGGCCCATGTGAATGAAACATTTTTAACTTTTAGTAATCTAATACCTAAAATTTTATATTTACAAACTCACAAATAAATAAATAAATAAATAAATATATATATATATATATATATATATATATCTGTGTGTGTGTACAATACCTTAATCTCATAAACATAATTTGATTAAGCTGCTTCCAATTTTAAAATGTTAACATATTTTGCACGTAATTAACTAACTAATATTAATTATGTGTAGCCATGACTATAATTATAAAAATGTTACAATGCTTAAATATTACTCGACAGATGTAAACATTATATGCATCGTATTGATTATTCAAATCAATTTTATTATAGTTGTAATTGTTCGAAGTAAATGTCGACGTTTCAACAATTACACCAACTTTTTTATTTTTTTTTCAATAATGAAAAAATGAACTATGAAAAGAATTTAACTCTGAAAATAATTGTGACACTTATTATCTTTTTGGGTAAATTACATTTTGACATTTTTTTTAAATGTTGCTGTTGAAAATTGTGTTTTTCCACTGGTCCTGACTAGGTGCAGTGACAGTCTTTTAGTTATGTTCCTACTTGTCAAATAAATTGTAGAAATCATCGCGGTTTCTTTAATATCAAATTATTTTTCAGCAATTTCACAGTTATCCTGAAGAAGACCCTTATTTCAACTAGCATTCAACCCTTTTGAAAGTTAAATCTATTTCATAATAATTAGACTTGTGCAAATTTAATAATGACTTTTATTTCACTATCAATTTGAAAGAATTCATAGTGAAATTAAGAAAATTTACAGATCTGACCGCTAAATTTTTCTATTTACATTTACAATTTTTTTAATGTCACAAGTCTATGTTTGAAAAGGTATATTTCACTTTTAAAAATAGATAAAAGTAATATAATTAATGTGATATTAAATATATGAGTGTTATGGATTTGAATATGAAGTTTAAGAAGTGTTGGTGTTAGATATGTAAATACATGAGAATTTTTTTTGTATATATGTAAATATCACACAATAAATTACGTGAAATAAAAAAAGAATTACTCACAATTTCATTATATGCACAAAAAATATAAGAAAAATATTATTTGAAAATATTTTATAATAATTTTATTATCAATACTATAATTATTTTATTAAATCTTATAACCTGAAAATTCTTTATAATTTTTTTAATTCAATATATTTACTGCTTATGAATTTATTTAAATGCATTAAGAGTTCCTTATTTGTTTTGCAAGTCATCAATTTATTTGATGGCTTATTCTATGCTCTTTTATCAATATAAATATATTTAATGAATCCTACATATGCACTTTACAAATAATAACTTTATATTTTTAAATCATTAGCATCAAATATATACTTTGCTAGATCAGTTGCAATTTTTATAAATTAATAAGGGAAATTGATAAATAAATTTGAACTGAATTTTAATTGGTTATATTTTGATAAAAAAAGGAATATAATATTTGTCATTCGTGAGAATCTCACTTGTCATGTATGCATATCATTATATATCACCCTCATTTTACAATTTTCTTATGGTTTGTTTGGGGCAGTTGCAGCTTATCCAGCTTATTCAGATAAGTTGTTTATCCTGATAAGTGCCGATAAGTAGCTGATTAGGATAAATTGTTTAACTGTTTGGTTTGTGTGTTTCAAAAACAGCTGATTTTGGATAAATGACCATTCTGCCCCTGACATGCTTCATGAAATAAAATTATATGTAAATATCTATTTACCGATGAGCAATCCTGGCAGCGAAAGGCATCCATCTAATTTGTTTTTTTTTTCTTAAAAAAAGTATACCTTCAGGAAGGATGCTCTGGTGAGACGTAATGAAGGTGATAAGACGAGCGGGTTTCTGTCAAGAGAGGGGGTAGGTCGTGCGAGGGAGGCGAGGCTGAGCGTTTTTCGGCACAGAGAGGAGAGGAAACGAGCGGGGATTCGTTGCGGCAGGAAGGAGTCGAGCTATCGTCGTAGAGAGGAGAGGCGAGCCGAGCTTCGATCGGGAGAGGGAGGCGGCTGAGCGATGGCAGGCGAGCGAGGTCTAGGTCGTGCGCAAGAAGGAAACAAGCGAATGGGGCTTCAGTGCGGTAGGAAGGAGTCGAGCGATCTTCGTAGAGAGGAGAAGCAAGCCGAGCTTTGATCGGGAGAGCACAGGCGAGCGAGCCAAATATGTCTTTCGCTCCAACTAAATGCTGATCGCGGGGTCATACCCGCAATCCGCGTTTAATACAAAATGGGAACGACGTTTAGGGATACGCAGTCAGAACACATTATTCAAACAATGGGTGACGTTTTAAAAATGCAACTACTATGAATAAGCTCTCCCAAACGCACCCTTAATACTATGTTTCACATTTCATTTGATGCATTATCCACTGAAATTAATATATATATATATATATATATATATATCCAAATAAATGTTCTATATACTTAAATTTCAGTTGTCGGTCAAGTAATGATTTGAGCCATTCTACCGAGTTTAGAGACGGTGAAGAGCCATTATGAGATGGATGTTGTCATTATTAATTATAATAAAAAATAGGAGTCCAGATACATAAATGCATCGGGACTCCAATAAAATTGAACCACATGAATAAAAAAAACTTATACTTTAATGTATGTTCCTCCTCTTTCAGATACCTGACACAATTTCATTGGAGTCTTAATGTAGAACATTGGATGCATCAGAACTGCTGATGTAATATTTTTTTCCAGTATTTCTCGTCTTTCATTTGGTTAAGACAAAAATTTCTTATTTTATTTTTTTATATTAAAAATTCAATTTAAAAATACAGGCATGGTATTGTTATATAATTAATGATATGTGACTCCAATTTTATTGGAGTCCAGATGTAAAATATTAGATGCATCTGGTTTTACATCTGGACTCTTGATGCAATATTTTTTTCAGTCTTCCCCCATCTTTCATTCGGTCAAGACAAAAATTTCTTATTTTATTGTTTTGATATTAAAAATTCAAATTAAAAATACGGGCATGTTACTGTCAAAGAATTTATGATTAAGCGAATTTATATTTTATACCCTTTCAACAAAAATTAAATTAACCGTATATTTAGCCATTTCTTATTATTACTC